TTTGATACCGGAGAAACTGACGGAAGCAAAGCACAGAGAGGTGGACACAGGTTTCTTCAGGAAGGAAGAGATTCTTTATTGGATCACCGATCGGGACTCAGAGGGACTAATGTCACCAAAAATACAGCAAGTTCTGAGCCCTGAACAATAGTGCAGGCTCCCTATATAGGCACATAACTCCTCCCATATTAAACTCCTCCCATATTAAGCTCCACCCGCACATTCTCTTGACCAATCATTACAAATAAGAATTAACTTCCTGCTTGACCGCATGGCTTGTCCAGCACAATGGAGGAGGGGAATACTACATCCTGTATTCTTGCACATGCTCCGTACACTACTGATCGTATCTTGCCTCGTGCAACCAACTGATCGATACGTCAGCATATGCACGTACACATGCCACGTGGTAATCTCGGCCTACTAAATTTATTTTTACCGAGATTCCACCACATTCCCTTTGATGCCTCTTGATATTTTACAATTACTTGAGGCATCACTTAACCTTGGTTTGCATACACCACAAGTTACCTTTGAACCAGACCAGACTTATTCTATTATGTGAATCTTCAACACTCGTCTTCCTGCATTGGTTCTCCCTGATCTAGAGCCTTATATTTATAAATTGCCATTATCTGTGCAGCAGCCTTCCTCTCTGCTATATTTTCTATCAGGCTTTGCACAGACCTAATTACTAAGGGTATAAGACACGGCAGGAGTAGACACAACATTAAAATCAGTAGGACTCCACCTACCACTGCCTTAAGCCCTCCAAACCACTCATACCAGCTACCAAACCAACTACTTGGATTGTACCCTTTCCATACCTGAGTAGGCACATGCGCTAGTTTAACCATATGGTTAGTAAGCTCAGCTATTGCTTGCCCTTCGTCATCTATTTGAAGACAGCAATTGCTCAGGTTAAACTTCCCACATACACCTCCCTCTACTGCCAAAAGATAATCCAAGGCTAATCTATTTTGGTAAACTGCTGTCCTCATCCTGGTATTATGCTTCACTAGAAGATTGAGCGCTTGTGATGTCTCGTTAGTAATGATCTCAACCACCGCCTGTAACCTTATAATGCGGTTGAGCATATAAATAGGGGTTCTATAACCAAAGGTACCATCCTCTGCCCACGTGGCTGGCCCATAATAATCTATAATACGCTGGGGAGGCCATTCATTATCTTCCCAGGCACTTATCTCTTTTCTTCCTATGATTCACATCATACACTTTAACACCTAAAGTCTCACCTGTTTCAATAGGCAACAAGAAGAAGGATGGTTTCAACATACCCAACACACATGCCTCTTCCCAGTCCTGTGGTAACTCCGAATAGGCCTTCTTACCACAGATCCAGTACAAATTCGCTGGGGCTCTCCAGTTAGATGTGATGGATAGATCAAACCATACGTCCTTTAAATTGGCATATCTTGCAAACGGGTTAGATGGTTCTGAGACATTTGAAGCCGACCACCAAGTTGTATTCTTTGTATCATCATCATAAACTTTTTGTCCTAGACAAGTTAATTCTCCTACAGAAGTATTATACATCATTCCTTTCCTCGCTATGCAAACATAACCTATGATGGAGGTCTTCAATCTCCACTCAGATTTACCTCTAACACTCATATGATAGTCGGCTTGTGTAGATATTAATTGGTCAACTGCCTCAGAACCGGACATTACCTTCTTTGCTTCCCAAGGCCATTGGTCTCCCATGTTAGTACCTCCACACACATAGCAGTTGGTAACATTAAGACTACCGGCAATACTCTCGGCTAAATCAATGAACAAGTTTTTAGCATTATGGGGGATCTTATTATCTATGCTCATCTCTTCATAAAAGGAATGGTATACTTGATGAGTTTGGGAGGTTACCTTATCAGTCTCTATCCCTATAAACAATATTGTCCCAGGGTCTAAACCCGTCCCATATATTTGAAACCCAAATAAATTACCATATTTATCTAAGAACTTGTCAGGGTTATTTATAAGTATATGGATTGGATTGCATTCCATAGACTTACAATATGGATCAGTAGGCAACTTAGTCACAATCATGTCCTTGTCTGCTGTCTGTCCCCAAGTCGCCCACCCCCCACAAGACCAATATGGGCAGAAGTTATAATCTCTATTTGGGCATCTTGGACTTACATATTTATTTTTACTACTGGGACAAATATATTTATCGTTAGACCCATACGTCCTCTCCCATCTAAGATCCCTACATACATTCCACGGCTTTCTACCACTTGATATTGCTTTACACGCATCAAATAGCAGAGCACCTGAAGAATATACGGATTTTAATACCGTCTTATTAATTAGGGTCCCCTGAGAATCTCCATTTCTGAGAGTCAACCAAATTGCACGGGGTTGATACTCAGGACTGAAGCACTTAGGTTCTCCTACTCCTAAATGACACACACTATATTCTATATTTAAGTATCTACATTTTGATACATCTCCTTTACACTCATATTGCGAATGCCAAATTAGGGTCTGGGATATATGGTTACCTGTTCTTGTAGTCTTAATGCATACCTCACAGCTAGGAGTGTCGGTACCTCTACCTTCCTGAATATAAAAATATACATAAATAAACATTATTAAAAATACATCTTTCGTCGTCATCCTCAGTCTTCGTCCGTGTGAAGGCACCTCAGCTTCCAGGATGTAAGGACTGCAGGGAATGGAGTTCTGCTCGCCTTCACAGGGGTCCCCTCAAGACTTTCCCTGACTTATACACTCGTTGGTGAGTGGACAGGCTTTATTATGGCCTTCTCACTCACTTACCAAGTCTCTGAAACAATAAAATTTGTAATCCACAAGGTTCCTCGTCACTCCAACTGAGTCGTGCGTTTTAACCGGATCTTACAGGGATTCTCTGGATTTGCTGTAACTTGCCAGGAATCGGCTGCTGCTAGTTTAACCCTGGAGTGATGTATCCACGGAGTCACTTCGGCTACTTTTATCGCTGTAGGGGTAGACAAAAGAACAACATAAGGACCTCTCCACTTGGGCCCTAACGGCACATTATTCCACTCTTTAATCCACACTTGGTCGCCCGGGTGGTAACTATGAATTGGGGGATAAATATTCACAGGTAATCTATCTTGTACCCATTTCTGTACTTCCTCCATAGTCTTACCCAACTCTACAACCTGCTGCCGGGTAATTCCTTCTCCCAACTGACTCAAATCCCCCCTTAAGTTACCAAGCACGGGAGGTGGTCGCCCGTACATGATTTCAAAAGGAGAGAGGCCCATCCTTCTGGTAGGTGTACTACGGATTCGCAATAGAGCTATGGGCAAGAGAACGCTCCACTTAAGTTGGGTTTCCTGACACATTTTAGCCAACTGATTCTTAATAGTTCTATTCATTCTCTCTACCTTACCAGAACTCTGGGGTCTATATGCCGTATGAAGCCTCCACTTTATACCAAGCATATGAGTCAATTGTTGTAGGCACTGATGAACAAAGCTGGACCATTGTCCGATCCTATAGAGCAGGGTAGTCCATATCGGGGTATTATTTCTCGTAGCAGGAATCTCACGACTTCTCCTGCTTTCTCTGTACGAGTAGGACATGCTTCTACCCAGCCTGAATAGGTGCACACCACTACCAACAGGTAGCGATGTCCACCCGATTTAGGCATCACTGTATAGTCAATTTGTAAATCGGACATGGGAAGTCCCCCCATAAACTGGACTCCTGGTGGCTTTACTGGTCCTTGTCTTGCATTATTTTTAGCACACGCTACACATCTACGTACAATGGCCTGAGTCAAGTTGGACAATCTTGGTATGTAGAAATGTTTTCTGAGAGATTCTTCTGTACTGTCTCTCCCAGAATGTGTCCCGCTATGATAGTTTTGGACAATTTCTACCGCTAGTGATGCTGGAATAACTATTCTTCCATCTTCTAACTGATACCATTTGTTCTCCAAATACTTTCCAGGTTCAGTCCTTAACCACTTCTCTTCTTGAGCTGTATAAATTGGAGTCCATTGAGACAGTGGAGTTGGTATAAGAGCAGCTATATGCCCCACATATTCCTGTCTTCCTGATTCAGCAGCACGCTTAGCTGCACTATCTGCCATCCGATTCCCTTTTGTTACATCACCATCTCCTCTCAGATGCGCCCGACAATGTATAATACCGACTTCTTTCGGCTCCCACACTGCTTCCAATAGTTGTAGGATCTCAGCTGCGTATTTGATTTCTTTGCCTTCTGAATTCAATAGTCCTCTTTCTTTATACAAAGCCCCGTGGGCATGAGTGGTTAAAAACGCATACTTGGAGTCCGTGTAGATGTTCACTCTTAAACCTTCAGCCAATTGTAACGCTCGTGTCAGTGCTATCAATTCTGCCTTTTGTGCTGATGTTCCTTTGGCCAGTGGCCGAGCTTCTATCACCTTGTCTATCGTTGTTACTGCATATCCTGCATAGCGGATCCCTTCTTTTACATAACTACTGCCGTCGGTGTAATATTAAACATCAGGGTTCTGGATGGGAAAATCACGAAGATCTGGTCTACTTGAAAATACTTCATCCATTACTTCCAAACAATCATGTTGACTTTCAGTAGGTTGTGGCAAAAGGGTAGTTGGATTTAAGGTATTTACAGTCTCTAAATGCACTCTTGGGTTTTCACACAACATTGCTTGATACTTGGTCATACGGCTGTTACTAAACCAATGATTTCCTTTGTAATCCAACAACGTCTGTACTGCATGTGGAACTCGTGCATAAAGTTCTTGACCCAGAGTGAGTTTATCGGCTTCAGCTACTAGCAGGGCGGCTGCAGCTACAGCTCTTAGACAAGGTGGAAGTCCGCTGGCCACTGCATCCAGTTGTTTAGACATGTAGGCAACAGGTCTTTGCCATGATCCCAAGTACTGTGTCAATACTCCCACAGCCATTCTTCTTTGCTCATGTACATACAGGTAGAATGGCCGTGTGTGGTCAGGTAGACCTAATGCTGGGCACTCATCAAAGCCCTCTTCACATCTTCGAATGCCGTTTGCTGTTCTTGAGTCCATAAGAAGGGGTCGTGCTCTGTACCTTTGATAGCTGCATACAGAGGTTTTGCCAGTATCACGTAGCTGGGAATCCATATCCTACAGAAGCCTGCTGCCCCCAAGAATTCTCGCACTTGTCTTCTATTCCTGGGTATCGGTATTTGGCACACAGCTTCTTTTCTCTCTGGCCCCATAATTCTTTGACCTTCAGAGATATGGAATCCCAGATATTTGACAGTTGGCAAACACAACTGAGCCTTCCTTCTTGACACCTTGTATCCTGCCTTCCAGAGAATGTGTAGTAGAACGTGCGTTGCTTGCTGACATACTTCCTTTGTAACTGCTGCTATCAACAAGTCATCTACATATTGTAATAATACACACTCTCCTGGGATAGACTCGAAATCTAGTAGATCTTGACTTAGAGCTGAACCAAATAGGGTAGGTGAATTTTTAAACCCCTGGGGCAATCTTGTCCAGGTCATTTGGCGTTTCGAGCCCGTTACAGCATTTTCCCATTGGAAAGCTAAGATACATTGGCTTTCTGCGGCAATTCGGAGGCAAAAGAAGGCATCTTTGAGATCTAAGACTGTAAAGTAAGTAGCCCCGCCCGGAATTAAAGCAAGCAGGTTATATGGATTGGGCACGACTGGATGTATACTAACAACCGCATCATTGACTGCTCTCAAGTCCTGCACAGGTCGATACTCATCTGTACCGTGCTTTTGAACAGGCAGCAATGGGGTGTTCCAGGGGGAAGTACAGAATTTTAGGATACCATACTGTATGAACTTATCCAGATAAGATTGGATGTTCTTCTTAGCCTTCTGCGGAATATGATATTGTCTCAGGCTTACTGGATAAACCCCAAGTTTTAGTTCGATTTTAATAGGTGGAATATTGCGGGCCAGTCCTGGTGGTTTGTTCTCTGCCCAAACTCCTGGTATGTTAAATAAGGATTCATCACTCCTCG